TAACCATGCAAAGCAGCTGGTTATGCTTAGGCTCTCATCTTCCCAACTGATACGGAATAACTTTCCTTGCCACTTTTTGTCTTTAGCGATCTCCAAGAACTGCTTCTCTTGAGATTGCTTCAACAGATTCCCAGCTCTTGCTGCAGTTACCACCTTTCCTTCTGTTGTAACACACACGGGATTTAGGGTATCAAGCTGAAGTGTGATGTTGAGTTCTTCAGCGTACTTAGCTGCTTCCTTTACGAGCGACTGGTGGCCTGATTCCATGGCGTGTTCTTCAAATTCTCTAACTGCTTCCACAGTCTGGTCCGAGTTCTGATACAATTTCAGTAGCGATTTGATTTTAGTGATCTTGTACTCGTGTTCGACTGATCGCAGGCCTCTACCCCCTTTCTCCCTCGGTAGATATAACAAAGAAGTTAGGCTAGCTGGGTGCTTGCCACCGTTCTCAACTATGATCTTCCGAGCTGCTCTGTCCACATCTCTTAACTCTTATAGAGGCCAATGCTGTGTCCACATTAAGTACCGCAGGATCGGGAGTGCATACTGATTAGTTGCCTGCACACGGTTACAATCAGACAGGGGGCTGGACCATATAATAGATATTATTATTATATTATTATTATTATTATTATTACTATTTAATATATATACACTCAGTGATCTTGGTAATTCAAGCAATCTGATTGGTTAGCTATCTCGGACTATGACGTTATATTCACCGCGCTAGGAGGTGAATATAAAGCAGAACAAAATCGCTGTCGTGAACTGGGTGTTTTGCCAAAGTTTCTTATAGTAAAGCCTTTTTGAAAATACACGAATATACAAGTGCTGATGACTTTGAAGGCAAGAAAAGACTTCATGGTGTTTAAACAGCGTGATTTATTGTGAAGTGGTTTACTGTAGCTGACTTTTTGTACGCTCGAAGCTATGTTTACCACTACAGAGGAAAACGAGGTCGCTTTGTCACTGTTTTGTGATTTCGGGATTTTCTCGCAAGACCAATTTTGCCGATAAATAGAAGTTAATTTATGGAGAAAAAAGGAAAGCAAATATTTTCGAAAATTGTACATGCCAGCAAGTTAACAAGGCAAAGAACGTTGGAGATAAACGCTCACCTTGATCGTAGCCGCTGTTGACAGCATTTGCAAGAAGCGACAAAGAAAACTTTCTCATTCACGGTGAGTTGACAGAAACAAATGAAGCTCTACTTGAGTAGTAATTTAAATTTTCGACGTTTTCTTTTAAACTGTTGATGCTAAAGCTTACAAAACTCGACGCGAAAAGATTAAAACTATCATTTGCCATGTTTGAAGATACTGTAAAGATCTAACTTTTGCGCATCCACTGTTTACGGCTTCGTGTTTACGCATGAACTCACCCGTCAATCAAAGTAATCGTTTTTTAATGGTTTCCTTTTTGATTCTGTTGAGATCACTTCGTGTGAATATACTAAAACAATTATTCACCTCAGGCTCAGTTAATATTGTTGAATAATCCCCTCGACTTCGTTTCGGGGATTATTCAACAATATTATCAATAACTGTTAAAGATGAACCCCGCTCGGGTAGCTAATCGGAACGCAGGATTCACTTCATTTTTCCCGCGGAGGATTCAGCCATATAGTAAAACAAGTTATCAGTGGACTCTGAATGTCGAGGTTATATTCGCAACACTTACTCGAAATTCGCTGTGAGCTCGTCAGTGACATCCGCCTTTGCGTCATCGCGGCGTGTCAACCTCGCCATCAGCTTGTACACCTTTCCTGCTATGAGAGCACGCGCCAGATTCTTTTCCTCTCGCTCCCACATCTTTTCGCGGTAAAAGACGTACAACGACTCATGCCTGGTGTCTTCGTTACGGAGCATTCCCAGCAGAAGATAAGCAAAAAAGATTTTTCTCCGCTTAATTAATGGAAGAAGAGATGGTCAGAACTTAGAAGTCTCGAAAATTAAACAAGGTTCATTTGAGAAGCATCCTAGCATTTGAACTTTGTTATAAACTGAACCGTACATATCAATGATTTGCAAAATGGCAAAACATTGAAGCCCTTTAGACTGAGTATACGATAAATAGAACATACAATGATTGATCCCTTGTTGGCTTTGTCGGGAAATATTGAAATTATTTCTCGTTGTACTCTTTAGGGTAGTGTTTCGTCTCTATGAAGGAAGAGGCGTGGGATTTTCCATGCACAGTTTCACAAGAATTTCGACATCTTGGAGAGCCATGGTCAGTTAGTTGTAACGGGATGGTTATGGGAGAGGTGGTTACGGGGCTTTCTCTCGGGAGTTAGTAAAACACCCACTCGGGGTAGGGGGTAGTGTTCTTAGTTTCGTTTCACAGAGGGTGGAGGTCCTGTGCTGCTCTAGATAGCTGAGAGAAACTAGAAACTCATAAGGGCTTGAAACATGTAACTCTAATATGTGCTCGTGAATATTCATAGTTCTCAAGTACTATATTTGGAACGAGAAGAAAAGCTAACTGACCAATCAAACTTTGTAAACGACGTGAAGAAATTTTACTCCCCGTCAAATTCCTGCCCCCCCTCAAAAAATTAGGAGCTTAGGCAACAATGACGACGATGGGTACGAAAACGTCACTTTAAAAGTGCATTCGCGCTGCTTCAAAATTTATCGCGCTTATTCCATCTCGCTCACTTCGAAATTCAGGAAACGGAAAAGAAAGTCGTTATGTTGTGCAGTTTCGCCCTCCTAAAAACGTGGAAGTGGGCACTTTCACGTCTTAGTTGTTCAGTGACGGCAAAAAAATTATCAAAAGCGTGATGCACGTGCAAAGTTGTGGTTAAACCTACTGGTTTTTTGACGTTCTCGTAAACGTCGCCGTCGTCGTTGCTTAAGCTCCCTAATGGCCGAAAGACGGGCGAAAAACCTTATAATGACCTGGAGTTTACAGAAAGGCTCGTAACTTTGACTGGAATTCGTTGTTTCCTCTTTGTAATTTTATTGTACAGTTTATGTAATTGCAGAACTTACGTTTACTTTATTCGCACTAAGATTTAGAGAATTGAATTTTATTGTCTATTTAACGAATCATTGCAGGAGTTGAGTTCCTACCACAAGATCCATGTTGTCGCCTTCCCGGTGAGTACCCCATAAATGTGGCCATAAGGCTTCTATTACATATATAAAGGTGAAGCCTTTGTCAATCTGCAACGCATAGTATTCTCTTATACAAGTGACAGTTTATTATATTAATTAATACCAGAGTTGATCTGAAATATGTTAGGGTCTATGTTGAAACACTAATTCTGTTACCTTGAATTCTCCAATGAGTTCTTCAAGAACGACCCTCGATGGTAATCTCTGCCTCTACAGCGGAAACACAGAAAGACGATTAGAATGTTCAGAGAATTCAATGTTTAAAATAATAGAGGGTTTAATTTTTACTGAGGCTGTGTTGCTGCGTCGGAACGAAACGCTAAACTATTTGGAATTATTAGAGATGAATTATTAAAAGAGCTCAGTTACTCCACTACTGCATTTAAATAAAATTTAGTAATTTCTTCCGTATTTGGTTAGCTTGTGTTCACCAAACCTGACTCAATTAACATTTGGAAAGGAAGGTATTTTAGTTGGAAGGACGCTAGTGGTTGTTTAAGTGGATTTTTTAGAGTAGTCCCCTACATGTTTTAAACGTGTAACTTGGCCATCGACTCTGTTTTTGCTCAAAAGCCCGTTTTAGTGTTGCTTCTGCTGAGCTTTGTAAGGCCGATAGTAATAGTCCTCCTGACAAAGCTAGAGCTAATAGCTAAGGAGTTGCTCTACAATTGCTAACATGTCTTCTCTCCTCAAAATAAGGACCACGGTATAGCGGTGAAACAATTAATTAAGGGACCTTACTATCAGACAACCGCGACGTCCATGAAAACCTCGCTGAAAAATAGACTCCGCATGCTTTCAAACCATTTCAAGATTATCCCAAGTCGCCCAGTTACTTAAAAGAAGGGAATTTATATTGGAGCTGAAGAGACGGGGGCCGCCCCCCGAGTTCAGACAGGAATGGTAGAATTTATCGCCTTGCCTGTCCCGTCCTCAAAACAACTTAAAATTTGGTCATTTCACGTCGTAGTCGTGCAGGGACGGCAAAGAAATGTACATTAAAGTGTGACGCACATGCAGAGTCGATGTTTTGCTAACTAAACCTATTGCTTTTTGACCTTGCCGTCGCCGTCGCCGTCGCCGTCGTAGTTTTGTAAGGTCCCTACTAAGTTAAGACGAGTAATGGCTCGTTGACCGGACAGCGGCTCCGTCGCAGCTCTACATAAAAGCAGGATGAAATTGAAAGGGACGTTAGTATAACAACTCCAGCAGGGGAGGGTGAAAAAATACAAAGGCTCTTGGTCTTCCTCGGTGGTCAGTAGTCAAAACTTATGTCTTTATTTCCGTTAGCCGAATGGCAACAACAGTGAAGGATCCTTTACCCTTTCTCAAGCTAATGAAATGTTTAGTGGCTCGATATGATTTTCTGCAATAGATCTAGCCTCTGGTTCCTGGCAAGTGACCGTGGATCACACCTCTAAGGAAAAAGTGGCATCTTCCGTTTAGACTAGGTTTATGAGTCCAAGGCCCTTAGAAGCTTTTTTTTTTTAATTATGTCATTTGTGGAGCTGTATAATATCAGTTTCAATATGTCTTCACGAGACGGCTGCACAACCAAGGGTTTTGCATTTGACGAGAACGGACTGAGTACTCTCCTTCATGACCTATGATATAGTACGGCTGTATTGAAGTGTTGTGTGAGAGTGTTTCCGAAAGCAGATTCAAACGCTTCTCTTCCCAAGTTTTCTCTATTCCACTTCCATTAGTGGCAACCACCAACCCATCCCTGTACGACAGACATAAGCACTGGCCAGAAGTAACGTAAAAACGGGAGAGTGATACGCCATTTCGGCCCTTCTGTCTCGCGCGTCGTGTCTGAACGGCAATGATTTAGAATTAATGAACGTCGTCATGTGTTGTACTTACGGTCACTGCCTTGAAAAGGTTATTTAACCGATCTGTATTCAGGAACGTCCTCATACTGACACCTTTTTCTAAAAGAAGCTCTACAAATTCCACACGATTGTTGATTAAAGCGTCCTTCATCTTATCTTCCAAGGTCTCCATCTGTTGGATAAGCCAGCACAAAACAAATGATCAAGATGACCTAGAATGCAACCTTAATTTAACTAAGGGATCGATATGATTTAACTATATGTTCCATCAAAACTGGACGTCATTTGTCTTCCACATGCTGAAAGAGTGGGCTTCCATTTTAGTGAATTAGTCTGAAGATGGATCTTTAGCATTTAACAATTTGTCCGGCTATCGGAGCAAATATTGGCAAAACAAACCTGTCGAGTGCCATTATATGTAAATCAGTAACTAAAACCTTTTTCTAACAACAGTGGAGGAGTGGAGAGACCAAGCCTACGAGCTTTCAGTTTTAAACATAAATAACACGCCACTATTGGAGACGTCACAGAGAGTATCTCGCATTTGCGAAATTTTGCTCTCGAAGGAGCGAAATAATTTTGTATATATGCTTTTTTCGGTTGAGCTATCAACATAGGAGGAAGTATATTACCGCGCTAATTTTTCCCAGCCGCCCTGTTAACTTAACTGTCTTAATATAAAATTATATTATTTATATTTTTATTTCATAATATATAGATTTAGCCAGGGCTAAAAGCGAAGCTCTGGTTAATAATACTTATAAACAAAAAAAATTAAATCGTGTAATGTTAAACGGAGACGACAATGAAAACGGCTTCAAAACTAACAGATCTAATTAGCAAAAAGAACAAATTGTACGTGCAGCATACTTTTTTGTCTTTCCCTTGCCGTTGTTTTGCACCACTACAACGCTGTTTTGTACGACTAAAACGTCAAACTTCCTAGTTACACATTATTATTATTATTATTATTAGAAATTGTCGTATGTGTTTACCCAATATTTTGTTTCCTGTGTTCATGTTCGCTTTTATTTTTCACTGCGGCTCATTTTCACCTTGCTGGTCGCTAGCATTTCTCATTTTCTCACCGCCGCTTTGAATTTCCATGTTTTTCTCCCTACGAAATTCGTCTCCCTTGTTTTCAATAACTCGCTCTAGCTCTTTCTCTGTTATACACGTTAGTGTAAACATAAAAAATAACGCCGAAAAAGACACGACTTTGTTGTTGTTTTTTCTTTCTAAAAGTCCGGGCGGCCATGTGATTTCGTTCAAAATAAAACCTTGAGTTGCATGTGGGTTGCCATACCTGTTGATTGAGTTATTTTACATTGGTATGCCTGTGGTGCGGACGGACGGTCGCTCGCTCGCTCGCTCGCTCGCTCGGTGTACGGTCACGTGATTACCAAATGTTCTCAGATTAGATTACCACATTTCCTTAGCTTAATGGGGCTCCGCCGTGGAGCTCCGCTAAGACAAGAATTTTCATACCGAGCTTACATTTGTATCTAAGCCTCCTACTGTTCTTCTCGGTTTCCTATCAGGTGTGATTACTTGGCCCTCCCCTGGTCAAGTACAAAAATGTAATGCAACAACAATATAAATTTGCACGATTACACCCATACCTTCCACTTTTGGTCTTTAGTAAAGATCTCAGCCCTAGCAATATCGGCTCGGTTCCACATCAAGGCCAAATCAAGCTGGTAAGAAGGCGAAGCACTTTGCGCTGCAAAAGCAAATGTATAATAGCCTCATCTATTTTTCTTTCAATAATGAAATGACTAATCAATTTTTTTTCCTGGGTTCTTTTATTGCCTTATCTAGCTAATGACCGACGAAGAAAATGATGGGATAAACTTCTAGTAGGTCCAGCAAGAATAAATATCGTTTCGGCCTTGTTAAAATTTAAAAGGAACAAAGAATACACTGCCTGATAGCAATTAATGCCATTGTTATTACCGTATCCTTTAACGAAAATGAAATGGCCTGCCTCATACTGTCATACATTGTAAATATCTGCTTAAAAAGTGCTTTCAAACCTTTCAAAATAGCTTTTAAAATCGACTTGTCGAAGTCGATACCATGGTCGTCCATATGGAATATTGTGATCTGTAGGAAGGACGTTGAACAGCTAAGTAAACAAGTGGAACTGACAAAATTCTTCTTGTTATATTTTTCTCTTAAGTGTCAACTTTCGCTGAAAGAGCTTGACTACAGTATGTTGCCCAGTATCCGGTCACTTAAAAAATTCTCAATTTTTGAAACGCCCTTTTTAGTTTTCGGTAAACGAAGTATTTCGAATGGAAGCTGGACACAAGTTGGTTTACTGCTTGAGAAACAGTTGCAGAAGGCGCTGTTCTGTTCAGGTGAGTAAACTTTTCATTGACGCTTTTTACTGCGCAGTAAAACTAGTGCTGTTCAAATAAGGGTTGGTAATATGTGATATTTTCAAAGAAACTGTTTTATATTTAACGTAAAGATACTTAAAGAAGTCAGGTTGTCAGAAAATTCATTAATTCTTCTTGAAATTTAATTTGTTTGGAATAACGGAGGCCAGATTGAGAAGCACTGTGCAGAATCGATGAATTAGCTGGGTACAATATCCGGACAAGATTTATTTCATACCTATAACTATAATTAAAGCTTAGGATATATAATATAATCTGTATAATGTATTTCTACTCAACCCTTTGGAAATTTTGAAAGTGAAGAATGATCATCGCAGTAAATTTTCCAAAAAAAAATTTCCAAAAAAAAAAAAAATTACTGCGATGGTCATTCTTCACTTTCATCTACAACCGCAGTTCATAAATATACTTCACATCCCTTTGGAAATTTTCTTCACTCATTCAGAGGCGAACTGATTTCGTGTGCACGGCTTGTTTCGTGTTACTGCATTTTCTATAACTAGCGCCGAAATTGTACCCGGAATTCTCATACAAATCCCCCAGTTGTGACTGGTAGAATGGGGTTGCAATGGTCTGAAAAATTCCCCAAAGGGATTGAGAAATGTGAAAGAAGGAGAAATTAGTGGTAGAAAAGCAGCCCAAGTGTGGGGACTGAGCATGAAGAAATCAACACTGCAGGTCAGACGAAGAGCTCTGATCTCTTATGGCTCTTGGTCAAACTAAGTGGGAGAGTGACCTTTGACCGTCGGAAGGGCCCTTCTCCAGGTTTTTTTTAATGAAAAACAAAAACAAAAAAAACAGTTAGCAGATTGGCTGATTGAGCTTGCGAACCGCGGCTTTGGCTTGTCCACGGATGCGTTCCTTAAATCAGTGAAAAAGTTCCTAGACAAGGAAGCAAGAACTATACCATTTAAGACAGCAAGCCAAGAAAGTGGTTTCGGAGTTTCATCATTTTTTTATTCCTTCCCCTCTTATTAAATTATCTCCCAGTATACAATTTTGATTCAAATTTCTTGCGTTTCATTGAAAAAACGGGCATTTCCTGTCGTAAGAGTTCCCTGCAGTGGCCACACCATCAATCCGCTGGAGACGGTGTGGTTAATTAGACCATGTTAACAAGTGCGTGTCGCAGTGTGAAGAAATGGCACGAAAAATACTTAAAAATACTACAAATTAACATTTCAAAGTATTTTATAGGAAAAAAAAGAACTTTGTATATTTGTTAGTTTCTGTTTTCATTTTTTTCTCTTCGCATCTCCAACCTTGATCAGCCGCTCGCGTAGTTTTCCCCACACACCCCAGTCATTTTGTTTCACGATGCTAGGTTCCCAGGTCGATTTACATTTTTGAAATCGATTGCTAGACTACTTTGCAAGTGCAAGAGGAGCTTATAAGTCACTTGCCTGTCGAAATTACATGTATATATTGTAATTACGTTATTGTTGTGGCCGAATAGTGGGCAACATATGAGCTCTGCAAAAATATTAACTTCTCGATGGAAACGAAGGAAAAAAAATAATAAACTGTCTTTCGTCATGTTAAGGATCGACTATAAATAGATTGTCTCTGGGCCAAATTTCAAAATTCTTGCGATCAAGAAAGGAAAGTTATTGTAATGTTAAACTGAAGTGGCCGGATACTGGGCAACATACTGTAAGACGAATCTGGGATGAAATACCCAGCATAGATCATGACATTTATTTGAGATTCACAAAAAAAACTAAAAAAACGTAAAATTACTCATTTTCTCAACTTACATACTGACTTTTCTTCACACATTCAAGTACATTAGAGTAACATTCAGACCATTCCTTTTCAGAGCTCTCTGGGAAGGCTTTTGCGATTCTCAGTTTAAGTATTTTGTGCTCTGCAAACTCAAGAGAGTCCTTCATATCAAACCTGTCAACATAGCAAAAACCGTGTAAAGTGTTAAAATATGTTTTGCCTTTTAGCAAGAGCTTTTAGATGATTCCTCCTTCAAAGAAACTCATAGTGTTAAGATTCTGAAAACATGATCGCCACCAAATCTTTAGTGGCATGATTTCAAGGTATATCCAAGCTTTATAAAAATTTTGATAACACAAAAATCTGGTTTGAGTGAATGTACAGTCCAGCAATGACCGTTTAACGCAACTGCCATGCCTTCTGGACATAAGAAGAAAAAAACATTATGAGAAGGAATACGAACCCTTCATTTGCTTTATACATCGAGTACGCATACGCTATAATATCAGCGGCTCTGCCGCTACCATCCGCAATGACGACAGGGATGGCAGGAGTGCTTGTAACTGACCCTAACACTGTGCGAATAGTATTTAGACCTCCCTCAAGGACAACCAGTACCACAGGAATACCACTTGACTCGCTCTTCTGAGAATGTTCATCTAAATAGTTTTAAAAAGAGAAAGGACGTTATTCTTCTAAAAAAAGGAAAATGAAAAAAGTGGTACGTAGTGGTAGTAGTAGTAGTCGTTCACTTCAGGCCTTTCCCCCCTTCCTTTTGCAAAATTCGCGTATCAGTGGGGGAGCTATTCCAAACACAGATTCATCTTTTTATTAACGTGGATGTTTACAACGATGTATTAACAATCCCTGTAATATGGCAGGAAGCAAACCATCTCAGCTGGCAACAAGTAACGTGGGCCTTTGCAGCAAACACGAATTCTTGACAGACTTTTGAAGGAGGGATTGAGCCTCGTTTCATTGAGGGGACGAAAGTTAGAAACAATAATCCCAAAACGAATCTCAAATGTCGATGAATGCGGTAGAAGCTCTCAACTGCTATCATGGGCTTGTGAGAGAGTGCTATATTGAACAAAAGTAAATTAAAACGACCGCGCAGGTATTATAAAAAACCTACAAACGACTGTTTCGGGGTGAGGTTGCACATCGATTACGTTAAAGACTATTAGAAAAAAAACTGAACCTCTTACCATTTGACTTGCTTTCCTGGGAATTTTCATCTAAATTCTCGGTTTGCACTGTCAAGCCATGAAAAATAAAAATGCAAACCATTCAATACAGAAAGTCAATAATCTGGGAAATGAAAGAAGATAAATAAAGGCTTTGCCAAGAATCAGGTCTGTGCAATATGTTAGACGCGAGATATTCGGAAAAACGTTTTACCCAAATTTATAAAGCTTTGTATGGAAACGCCATCTAACAGAAACATACATCATGTATGTTTTCGAGTTTTCCTACTAATGCGTGAATTCTGCGCTTGAGGAACTCATAAATATTAAGTAATACTTATTCTGCGACAAGGAATGTTTAGTTCGCGAAATCTCCCAAAATCGGTAATGTTTTTAACCCACATAAGAGCTTTCCTGGCCGTCAGCTAAATGCCGTGTCACGCAAAAGCCTGAAAATTCAAGCGTCCTCTCTCGCAAAACGAAGAACCCTTTTGAACCAAAAATTTGTTTATATAAAGGTGTTTAGGTGCTGTAATACCTCGTACATCGATTACGTTAAAGACTATTAGAAAAAAACTGAACCTCCCAGATAATTACTTTTGGAAATCTCTTTATTTAATAAGCAGTTTTGAAGTCTTGCACGGAATGCGATCTCTCCTCCGTATTTGCCTTCAGTGCCATCGTCCACCAGCAAAAAATGTGAATGATTGTTGTCGATACACGATCCTTGCATCTGTAAGCTTGACGTCATGTGATATGTAACTAGATCCTGTGTTTAAAAAGATAATGAGTGTACTGTCAACTCGCTGTTGACCCACCACCTTTGGTTCAGGAGAAAGTTTTCGCTAACGGAAGATGGTCGTTTGCCAGAAAAATTAAGACAACACGCCACAAACAAAATGAATCCACTAATTATAATTGTTGTATAGCTGGAAATGTTTTCGCAACCGCGCGCGCTCTCATTGGTTACTTCGAGGTCTCATGAAATCTGATACTAAAACAGTTTCCCGCCAAAATCTCTGAGCGGGTAACATTGCAAAATCTATGACGTCAGATGGTAACAGTGCACTGTTACCCGCGAATGTTGACCGACGACCGCTATTCCAGCTGTATAACAAATCACTTAAAGACCGGTCCCTCGGGAAACAGTTAATTTTGTTTCCCTCGAATCTCAATGTTTCTCGAGGCGGATTCTGGGGAAACAAAATTAACTGTTTCCCGAGGGAGCAGTCATTAAGAGTTTATTATCTACTGCTTTATAAACTGAGCAGCCACTCCTTATTAACTACTTAAGTTGAAGGAAATGTGTCAAGCTCTCTTAAGAGAAATATATAAATCGGGCATAACATACTAGTTGCTTATTTATTACTGGTTTACATCTGCGAGTTTGGTTCGTGTAGGTATTCACAAATTTTGATAAACAACGCCACGCTAATTTGTACTATAATTACAATTGCAATTTTATATATCTAAGTGAAAAACAGGATTCCCTCCAGAAAACAAGACACAAAGGAATTTTCACATTTCTGGACTCGAAACCGTTCGCTTATGAAATTTGGGGAGTGGAAAGTTTTTAAACGGTGTTTGACTGCGAAAGAATAAGGTTATTTGCAAAGTGATCTCAGTTGTATGCACTATTCTTGTCAACTATGTGGATGGTTTCGATGCAAGAGCGTCTGATTGGCCATTTTGAAGTGGAGACTTGAGCCTTTATGGTTGGTTTTCTCCCGAATTGCATTGTGGGACTGTTTTGAAGACGCTATCCACTTTTATTTGGGAGTTAAGATGTGACGACTGTTACGGCAACGAGAACGTCAAAACGCAATGGGTTTAACAACAACTCTGCAATTGCCAACTCGATTGCAAGGCACTCTTTTTCTTTGAGCGTATCTTCCCTATGTTGATGTGTACTCCCTTGAAGCAAACGCTACCGGCTGACCGGTCTATGGAAGAGCTGGGCCTAATCCTCTTTCACTGGCACTACACTGGAAGATGACATCTTCATTGCAATTAGTACTTGAGTATGGGGTGGTTGACTACAAGCCTCTTTTAAAGCACAATTAAATTTTCTGGAAAGCTGCTTTATGCCATTAAGACCATGTGAACTTGTCGTCTTTAGTTATTAAGTCTTAGAGGCTGTGCTATACTTATGCAAGTCTAGGAAACTATGAGAGTTAATTGATGAAACCAAGGAGAATTAGGGCTTCCTGCTTGCACTTTGGCTGGGGCATTTCCTCTACAATTTTCACGTTACCAGGATCTGGTTTTAGGACTGCCTGCTCTTCCCTTTCGCCAAATCCCATAACTATGATGTTGTCTCTGAACTTTTCTCTTGTAGGTTACTTTCTAAATTATTCTGGAGCAAGGCTTCCAAAGGGCATGCGGAGAAAATGGAAATCCAAAACTCTGTTAATTTGCTGATGGTTTCGTAAAGACTGATTTGGTAAAAGCCATCTTTCTCGTTTTGCGTTCTGACGATTCTGTCTTTGGACAGCTTACAATAGGTAACAGTTCCTCAAGTGTAGGAATTAGGTATTTAGGACGCTGAATTACCTTGTTCAGTTCTTGAGGGTCTAAGCATATTCGGATTTTACCGGGCTTGGTTGCCACTACCACATTGCTGATCCATTCTATACTTTTGGGTTTCTTTCTAGATCTGTGAGCTTTGCTTTCATTCATTCTTTAGGGCTACGTCTAGAGCTTTGCCGAGCTAGAACTGTTGAGAGATCAAGTACAAAGCTGAACCTGAACCGATATGTCCAAGACCTTTGAAGACATCGCCAATAATCTTTCAGCCGTATACTTTACACTGTCACGAGAGTTGTTTTGTCATACAAGACAAGAACTTTAGCCTGAGATGGTAACTTGAGAAGTTTGAACTTTTGAAAGGTTTCTGCAGACAGTAAAGTCTTATTTGTTTCGCTAGAGGCTTGAAACTTGGGAAAATGCGAGCTTCCACCATGTGAGACTTGCAGAAAGACTTCGTCAACAGGCTTCAGGCAGCCGTGAAATAACTTAAGCTAGGTTTTGCCTTTTTCCATGCGAGGGTTGCCTTCTTGCTTGATAATCGATAAGTCTCTATTTAACAAATAGATTCCATGTTGCCGCGCGTCTGTTCAGTAATAGATCACAGATGACGTCAAAATGTAGTAAAAACAACGTGGCACACGAGCCGCTGGCGAGTGTGTCACTGATGTTTTTACCACATTTTGACGTCCTCTGTGATCTATTACTGAACAAACCCACGGCAACATGGAATCTATTTGTTTAATACAATGATCAGAAAAGAAAATAGACTGATACACATACCTGCCTCGTACCGCTTGACTGTTCGAGGATTTGTGCTAGTTTAGGCATTTTTTAAGTCCCAAGCGTTACTTTTCGTCTCTGCTTCTTCTTTTTTTTATCTTACTTATCTTTATCTTACTTGTATACAGTTTCTTCGAAAAGTTTAGTTTTCAACTTCTTTTCTTGCTCAAAGCAGAACAATGGCGAAAACATTTTGCAAAACAGCGAGTCCCTCGTGGCGATGACGCACGATGGCAACTGTTGTGAAGATTTCTTGTAGTTTTGGGGATTCTTAAGTACTCAAGAGCGCCTTTTGTCCCCGTTTCTCCATTTTTGGTCTTTGTAAATAACTCCTGCTCATCTTTTTTCGAGGCTTTCACTTGCTTTAATCCTAAATAATCTCACAAACATTTTCAAAACCGCGCCCCCATGTTGAACAAAACAAACAAAACAAGTTTCCGGTGATGTCATCTTAGACTATGTATCTGTACTCTGATAGATCATAGGCAACGACCAATAACAGCGCGCGTAGCATTCACATCATTATATGAAGTTGAGTACATTACAGGTCGCACCTGTGTCGACTAGCTGACATTGAAACATGGTTTCCTGCATATTGTGTTCACAAAAGAAGCTGAGCCTGCAAACAATCGCTAACCATGGGACTCTCATACGAAATGAGAGTCTGAGAAACTGAGCTATCGTGGCTTTCTTGTAAGTGTTTAACGCGGGTACCTCATCTTTCTTCTTGGCCATACACAAGCTTCAAAATGATGCCATTTGTGATCGTATTTTCGGTTGTATAGCGGTATTCGTTTCGTTTGTGTTGGGTACCACAATTTTTATACCTCTCATTTCCAGTCGTCTTAATTCTGGTAGGGAAACGTTTTTCTTCTTGTTTGTTTTTGCTGCCATTTGGCTGCTTTTTGGAACCCTTGGCCTTGACATAGCTGCCAACTGACTCTCGTTTGCTTTGCCCATAAGAGTTAAAGACATACCGTTCTCAAGAAAAGGTTGCGTTAAAGTTTGAAATAGTGTTCCAACGCGGTCATGCATGCTTGCACTTTATTATTCCTGGACCTGTCGGAGATTCAGGATAGCTTAGACCAGCTAGCTTCAATTTATGTTTTTACTTTCCCACTTATTCCTTTTATTGTCACTATTTATTTATTTACCTATTTTTCTTTTCCTTTCACAGGGCCTCTCAGAATCTCACTATTGTAAAGTGTGTTTCCTATTTAAAGATTTGTTGTCGTTCCACGTTCAAGAGACAGGCGAACATAATATCTTCCTCGTGTGCGCTACTAAGTGACTTTCAAAATGCTTCTTACCGTTTTAATCAACTCAGACCTGTGCTCCACAATGCCCCATGGAGCGATTCCGATCAAGGTCACCAAAGACGTTTTATCTTTGAGCATTGCCACTCGTGACATTACAGTATGACCCTTTAATGCCTCTCCTACGTGACGCTGTACGCCAGTGTTTGTTCCCCCTGTTATAATCCATGCACCAGTGGTATTGGCTGCCTGTGCAAAAAATTTTGAAGAGTTAAATTAGAAGTTATTATGGATACAGCCTTTCTACGCTTATTTTTCTTTACTTTGGGTACGTGTATTCGAAGTCACGAACTTTTTCAAAACCTTCAATTCGTTCTTTCTGATGTTAAGCAAGAGACCATCAATGGGTACCCTTTCATGGTGTCTTGTGATGATAAAGGCAGACTAATCCTTTCAGGTGCTAAGGAAAGGGACCTTGGGTAGTCATGGAGTGAATCAAGTGTATTATGGGTTGCTGTCGATAAGTTTCGAAAAGCGTCATAATCTATCCGGGCTCTGCACGTGAAAGATTTTCAGAGTATTCCCTAAATGATCTTGAACTTGTTCAATTTTTATAGCATCGTTTTAAAGACTTAAATCTTATTAGGCTGAGGACAAAGGCACTAAGGCTCCATGCACTTTAAAAGGCTCGGGATGTTCACATGATTTTAAAGGAGCTGTGTCACGAAATTCAGCCAAATTAAGAAATTACAAAACGCCCGTTAATTTAAGAGAAACATAAAAATAACTGCTTAAAACTTTAAAGGACGGTTAAAATAACATAACAGAAACAACAGATGTCACGGATGGGCAAAACTGAAGAAGATTGAAACGGATTAAAATTAGGGTTTTTGAAAACTGTTCAGCCTAACAGTGTTTCAAAGTTGATCCCTGCTGCTTGCAACTTCAAAAATAATGTTCAGGAGACATATTTGTTTGTCTCGAATCTCTGATTTTGTCATATACCTGTAATTTCTTTGCTTTCTTTAATTTCCATAGCGATTGAGGGCGAGTAATTGGCAAAATTAAACAAAATGAACTCGGCTGCCGTGACACAGCCCCTTTAATAATGATGTTTTTCAGTTTCATCTAGAACCTCTTTGTGCTACAGTCGAACCTCCATGTGCGACCACCTCTCGCGACGTAAGTGCCCACCTCCCATAAGCGACCATCTATTCAAAACACCGAAGTTTCCCCTGCGTGAAAGCTCTATAGTTAGAACTCTCGTAAACGATCACCTCCTATGAGCCACCTCGACCACTTTTTGGTCTGATGGTCTTATAGTTTTCCATTGTTTTTCACCTCTGGTAAGCGACCACTTGGTGAATGTTGCGGCGTTTTTTTGTCCACTGTATGTACTACGCCACCCAGAGTACACGAAGAACTTTCTGTGACAACTTTGAAAAGTAAATTGTTTGCAATAAATTCTCTGCCTTTTTCATAAGAGACCAAGAAATCCTCTAATTTTGAATAGTTGCTCGGGGAGGTTTAGCCTGTTCCAGGCTCCGAGGTAGTCGGTTCCAAGAAATTGAGAAAGCGGAACACGAAATTAAAACGGGAGGAAAGTACGGAGAAGAAGGTCGTCTCCCTTCTTCTCTCTCCATTCCTTTTTCCGCCACCGCCCCCTTTTCCCAGATCACGCGCTCACAATTTCGGTTGCCTTTTACTTACGCGTCATCCCCACTAACGAAGAGCCTGGAACAGGCTAGGGGGGGTACGAGTGTATTAAATTAATTCAGAGAAGATCATCACAGTAAAATACGCAACTTATGCAGTTGCGAGAAGAAACGGTGAAAAAGTTCAGGCTTGCCAAGATTGGAACCCGGGATGCGTTGCCAGTGCAGCATTCTAACCAATTAACAAACCAACTGGGAGCTGGTTATATGATAAAAATATTAAGTTTCCCATAATTCAACTGCCCGGTGAAGAAATATATGAAGAGAAGACTACCTAAGGTCAAGAGAGAATGAGCTAGCCTGAATTTAATTATGCTTTCTTTTCGCCACTACACTATTGATAAGTTGCGTATTTGCTGTGATGATCTCTGCATTCACTTCTTCACCCCGCAGTTTAGCAGTTCAGTTTAATAAAATTCATATATCAATCAAGTTTGTATTAACTTATACTGTAGTTCTAAGTTTTGAGTCTGTGGATAAAATCTTATGGTGTGACCATTCAAATTAAACCTCTTCAGCAGTACTTTCACATGGTACTATTTATTTAGTATGAAGTTCTTCTAACTTTTGACTATGTAAATGAAATCCTATGGGGTGACCATTCAAATGTAACTTCTTCAGCAGTACTTTCACATGGTGCTATTCACTTAGTATGTAGCTCTAACTTTTTAGTCTGCGGACCAGATCCTGTGCAGTAACCATTCAAATGATGCTTCTTCAGTAGTACTTACACATAGTACTATTTATCCATTATATTTTTGTAGATACAATTTTGGAGTCTGGTACTATTTTTTTAGCACGTTAAGTTATAACTTTTGAGCCTTAAGATGTAATCCTATGGCTCATTCAAAAGAAATCCTTTTAAGTGATCCTTTTCCGTTTATTTCTTTTTTCTAATATTTTAGAGGTCAATTTGTGGTAGTTTAGAAAAGAAACCTCTTCTCCTTCTTCTTATTTTTTTCTCTTTTTTTACTTCGGGCACTCTTTGCACTGATATCTTTAGCAATTATTCCTCGATGGGCTCTGAGTCAATAGCCCATGAGGCCGAAGGCCGAATGGACTATTGACTCAGGGGCCATGAGGGCGAGAGGAATAATTGTTTTAGTAAAATCCAACTAGTCGGTCAAAAATATCGACACAAAACAACTTAAAGCAAGACTTTAATCCTTTTTTGCCGCCAAAAATCTGGCGCTTTTCGCTACTAGTAAGCTATAACATATAGCTTAGTAGTAGCTCAACCAATTAGAACGCAGCATTGATAATAGACCACTTGTTGGATTTTACTAATTAAGGATATGTTTACACTATACTGGAAAGCTTTTCGTGGCGCCAGGTAAAGCTATACGCCATAATGTAAACATTGCCTTACTTTCAGACTTGAATAGCAGTCTGAATCTAAACACTATTTTATGATGACATTTCCAGCAATGATTATGTGTATTAATGATTTACTTTACACAATTAAACACCTTCAACAATCCCTGTCGAAACAAATCCTTTAATTTTGGATGCATGACAAAGCTTTTTGCTCCACCAGTAACAGAGATGACAAGTTTAGGTAATTCTAACTTCCATTTCTCTTGTAAAAGGTGCAGAACATCGTCAGGATCAGTGTCATCAGAAATACGAATGAACTACCGAAAAAAACAAAACCATGATAAGAACTAGCGAACTTAAGATTTCATCAATCTGAAGCGAGTTTGTTGAAGCTTTACAGGGTTACATTTGCAGTCACTAAAGCATATCGGATAGTCCTCAAAAACAGTAATTGTAAAAAAAATTTGTAAATTGTAATTTGTTTACCCACGGATCACTAAGGAGTTCATAAGAACTCATTGAGACGTGTCCGTGCGTTCCAGATCGAATTGGAATTTGGAAGTGTTGGTTTTTAAGGAGAGGGGAAAACCGGAGTACCCGGAGAAAAACCTCTCGGAGCAAAGGAGAGAACCAACAACAAACCCGGGAACCTGGTTAATGAACACGGCCAAGGGGACATACCATGGTGTCGTCCATATTTATCGGGTTCAACGGTAAAACGTCACGGACAAATCTTGTATTGACGTAAATACTAAAGCAGACAAAGAGGAAGAAGTGTAGGAACAATGACTTCAACAAAAAAGCTAAGGAAGTGAAACGTCTTTAGTGAGGCCGAAACTCTATTAAAGGGCTTCAGTACAAGGGTTAAAGACTGTATTAATCCATGAAAGTCATAAAAAAGTTCTTAAATGTGGATGTTCGTATCAAGGGGGCTGTCCGTAGGGCGGGGTCCCACTCTTTAATAGGGAGCTTCAGCAAAGATGTTTTTGAGCGACACACGTCAACTGGAAGTGAGGTCCTCTCCCTTTTTACATGCCCTGACGCTACCAAATTTGTATTGCTAAGTTTCTTTTCTCTTATAAAGAGGATTTACCCGAGAGTTTCAACCAAACCACTACACAATGATGTAAAAAGTCCACTTTCGGTTGACGTCCGTAGCTCGGCCAAAATGTTGATGCTTAAGCTCCCTAGTCTCTGTCGAGCCCAAACCCTAAAGTGTACAACTTATCCTCCATTTTACTACGGTAGGGTGTATAGAAATAAAAACAGCCTCCATAATTATATTTGCCTTGTGTTAGCGTGATAGACATGGAATTAAGTCTAAGCTTACCTTAGCTCTACTTGCTTGTCCAGCTCCTGTAAATTCAAGTTCGCCGAAAGCATCCGTCGGTCCATCTATTTCTGTGTGCTCGGAAACTTTCCATTCAATGGCGCTAGTTTCCTGATTGATTGTTAGAACAACCATGAAACACATCAGAACTAATACTATACACCCAAAAAATTGCAAAAATTGAACTGGTGGCCCTCTCTCCTCCGTATAGTCCTGTTTGTGTCGCGGCGAGGCTGGGGAGAGGGAAAAAGAAAGCGTGTAAGGGACGATGGAAAGGGGAAAGAGAGAAAGAGAGAGATCTCTCCCCCCCCCCCCCCCCCCCCCCCCCCCCCCCCCCACCGAAAAGGCTGACGAACATAGATGTGAGGCCCCCCGTCTCGCTGTAGTGCCGTTTTGGTCGCGGGGAGGGGTGGGAGAGGGGAAAACAAAAATTCTAAAGGCAGATGAAAATGAAGAAGAAAAAAAGAAAAAACTATCTCCCCCCCCCCCCCCACCCCCCCCCCCCCCCCACGCTCTTATATTTTTACTGCGGAAACCGCTGCGGAGAAGAGAGTCTGGTAGCCTCATGTAAGCGACATTTAACTCAGTTCTACTTGCCTGTCCAGGTTCTGTTAATTCATGTTCTCTGTTCGTTTGTCCATCTGCTGTTTCGTTACCATGGGAGGCCTTTGAACGACCACAACCGCAACTAAAAATGTAAACATATATGTTTCAGTTTCTTCTAGCCTGCTTAACTTGTTTTTAACATTTAGAAGTCAAATGTTTCACCTATTCTCTTTCAGTATATTTACGAACATGA